TTATAACGAGTCATCAAGCAATAATCCACGAGATCCAAACAATATGAAAGCACAAATCAAGTTTGGCTCGATGGACCGCTGGAAACAATCGCTGGACAACGGTTAAAAAAAGGCATCGTGGCGGTAGTTCAGCGCGAAGCAGTTTGAAAAACCAGCGCGAAGCAGTTTGAAAAACAAGAGTTGTATAGATAAACCGTGAGATGAAAAGGAACACATGAATTGATCGACCAAATAATTGTCATTTGATGCAATAATAATAGTAACAATAATAAACAACCATAAAATTTGGCTTGAGATGCAACGAAACGTTCAAATAGAATGCTATTGATTGCAAAGGCTCGATGAACCGCCACTCTTGCCCCAAATTTGCGCCAGCGCACTCTGCGTCTCTACCCTTCGGGGATCCCCTCGAGTGTAGCATACGGCCGCTCTGGGGGACGTCCCCCTGGGGTGTCTTCCCCTTGAGGGGACGCTTCCCCTCGAGGGGGAGAATAGCATACGGCCCCAGATTCCTCAGAAAATGCAATGGCTAAAATATCGGGTATTGATTGGCGAAGACGCAGAGTTACTGTATAGTTGACGCAAATACTTGATAGTTGTCCCGGGAAACTCGGCCCTGAATTTTTCCTGTTGTAGATTTAGCGGCGAGTTCCTTATTTAATCAGGCAAGCAGAAAGCGGTCGACTTTATGAACAGTGGAGTTCTCATGCGACGGCGGGGCGGCCCTACGACCACGCTGACGAGCGGTCCGACGCCGTTGCGATCGATAATGGTTGATACGCCTATTCAACTGATTACTGTTCTTCAGCTTCTAGAAGCTAAAATTAATCTTCTTCCGGCTCCAGTGAGAAAAGGTATGTTTTATTGGACCTAGGTTTCATTTTGCATGATTTCAGTCAATAAAGCAAAGTTAAACGACAACATTAAAAAGAAGTTCAAAAAGTGACAAAAACTGGAAGAAGAAACCAGATTTCTAAGAGGAATACATGCTTAAATCATGCAAAATCAAGCTTTAGCAAACAAACTCATCTTTGAAGAATAAAGTCGAAAAAATAATAATTTCAACTGTATGCAGAAGTATAGTAAAAATACCGCAGAAATCTGACTATGAGCGCCGGCAATTATCGATCGGCGAGAGTCCAGACGGAAGAGTGAGTGGCTAGTGCGACGACGTGTGTTCAAGCGCCAGTCAATGCCAGAGCACAGAGAACGATGATTGCAATGGCCCCAGGCCTCCACCTGTTAACCGACACGCAACCGTCGGACTGCTCGCCGTCATGGTTGTAGGACCACTCTACCGTTACATGAGAATCCACTGTAAGTCGGTTAAATTACCATATAGATTAGCATAATGTTTAACATTTTAGGCATTCATGTAATATATACAATAGGAAGATAACTCAATGAAAAATAGACGGGAATGTATTAAGTTAGTTAATTCTACATTAATCAACAAATGGGTCATTATTTATTTGTTGTGAATAAGCCGTTGGAAAGGTTAATATCTGAATGACATCTGAAAGTTGTAATACATTTTAATATGAATTATCGTATGGAATTGCAAATTCCCTCCTTTGCTTACTGGTGAGCACAGAGCGCAGAGCGCTTGAAGTTTTTGGCGCCTCTCTTCGTACTTCATATTCAGATTGCATGAGGCTCCGGGACAGCACAGAATATTACGATATTAAAAAATTTAATCATTTTCCGTCTAAGGCACGGAAACGGGAGCTATCTCCGAAAAACTCCTCCACTGATAGGATCATTATTAATTCAAAATATTATATAACTTCAGAAACAAATCATCCGACTCTAACAAATAACACAAGAAATGTAAGTAGCAGTATTTACTGTAAGCAAGCATAAATAATAAGCAGCAACCAACCGAGTTATAACTAAATAATACGCGGTTTAAAACTATAAGCAATACATAAACAACAACTACTCTTCAAAACATGTCATCCGGCTATTTGTGTCAAGATGAGTAACCCCTCATAAGGCACCGTATACGTTCTTTCATTTGCATGAAAAGTGCTGGTAATCAGTGATAGTGATCTGTGTCAAGTTTGGAATTCCTGATGCGCTCTCCAGCCCTCTACATCTTCTTTACCACATGTGGGCGGTAGCATATTCATTCACTTCTCAAGAGCAATTAGTTCCTAATATAGAAGTATGGACATATTAAGAGCATGAGCTAAGAGTGAGAAAGAAGCGATACTCTCACCATGAGACGTTTTCAATACCGGTCCTTTTGTTGGGTAAGGGCAAGCGCCACAGTGCAATCGGGCCACCAGGAAGTAGACACTCTGCAGTTTTTCCGTCGTAGCTCGACTTTCTACCCATTGATGCTCCCTCAAAACGTCGTGCCCAATATCTCGCGTCCGATGAGATGAGCTGCCAAAATGGAACTCCGCTCTAAGTATAGTCTAGTTCGCTGCTGATGAAACCACTTTCAAGCGGGCGTGTCAAGCGGGCCTAGGTTTGTCTTGTCGTGTCGAGCCGAGTCGAGCCAGTTGAGTCTGGCGCTGTGGCGCTTCGCAGCGAACTAGAGCATCGAAACTGCTAGATTGAAAGCGTTATTTCAAACGATAGGTAGTATAACGACAGAAGGAATAATCATCTTCAGAAAAGTTGATAACCATCTTTCAATCAAAGTGGATTTAAAGACAGCTCCCGCGATGAAAGTGTCATGGATAGTTGCTTTTCAGTTATGAAATCGG